AGCCATAGGTGTTACATTCCAGGAAAGAATTTGTTCACATCTGGCCAATGTCCTAAGATTCTAGGTGACCCTGAATTTAAAGATGATGAACTAATTAATCTGGCGGAGGGGAGTTGAATAATTTGAAAACCTTGCAGTTTGGTTAGAAAAGGAATACCTGCAAAAATGGGCCCTTAGAGAGTGTATTTGGTGAGACATTAAAAAGCAGCATTAAAAAGAAGACAAGTACTTGATACCAGGACAATAGAAAAGATGGCTTGAAGGCATGTCAGGAATCATCAAGACCTCACTCACTCAGACTCAGAGATGCAAAAGCACAAATCTTTCATTTGAACAGAGTCAGTGGGCCCTCCACTAGAGGAAAGCCCTCTAGGGAGTTGGTTCTCCAAAATTCATTCTACCATTCACACCTATCCAGGCACTCGGGGGCCACTGCAGCCACGGTCCAAAGGGGTCCAGCTAGTGCTCAAATTTGTGGCAAACCTCAAAATCATCCACACAATCAAAGAGGAGTTTGCACCGATTTAAAAAGAAAACTTTCAGCCTCAGAGAAGGCAGTATACAAAGCTGTGAGACTAAGCCAAAGGAACAGTAGAAACCTCAGACAATTGAAGCTGCCAAGAATGTGAAAGGTGTGCTGAGGATTACTGCAGGCAGCAAATACAGTCAGTCCAAGAGAGAGGTCTCGTGGACTGCAACTGGCATGGCCATAGTGGTGGCTACCCAAGCCCTTTGGGATTCACTCTTTCCCACAACCTAGCCCAGGTGTTGGACATGGAGATTCAGGACTTTATGTTTGTCTTCTTGGTTTCAGTCTTTGATCCTATTCCTTTCTATTCTCCTATTCTTTCCTTTTTTCAAATGGGAATGGTTACACTCTACCACTGTATATTGAAAGTATTTAACTTTCTTACTGATTTTTATAGGTGCTCACAGTTAAGAATCTGCCTTGAGTCTCAGAAGAGACTTGGCCATGGACTTTACAAGAATACATCAACAGAGAAGAGTCATATAGTGATTTTTAAAAGATGAAAGTATATTTATTATAAAAGTACAGCAGATATAGTCAAATAATGTACTAGCATCTAACAAGGCAAGGAGTAGCACAAAAGATGATAGGGACTCCTCTGGGGTGGGATCAGAACCTTCAGTCAAAAAAATAAAAGTTGTGTCACACCCAGTTTTTTAGTTTCTTAAGTTACTCTCTTCCTTCAAGCTGTGTCAGGCATTTTGTCCCAGCAACGAGAAAATCACTTATATAATCACATTAGGGGGGTTTTGCAGTCATTTGTTTTTCTTTGGGCTTTGAACATGCCAGACAAGCACTGCAGTGTTGAACAACATCCTCAGTACACAACTATTGGTTTTTATAAGTATTTCAATAATAGTGTCGTGAATTCAAGCTACAATTGGATGTCTGAGGTATGTTCAATGTAAACTATGGAATTACATGATTGACATAAATGTTGAATGATATCTTTATTTACATTAACAAGTAAAATAGCTCTCTGGGAGGCCAAGGCAGAAAGGTTGCTCATTTGGCGTTCCTAGGAAACTCATTGATTTTGTGAGACCTGTCCCAAAATAAAATGGATAAATAAAAATATTGGAATGTAGCTCAGTGAAAAGGCCTTATGTTCAATCCTTAGTTCCAAAGAGGGCAGGGGATAAAATAAATGTATTCAATGATGTAAATGACCTTCTTCTTGAAATAAACAAATTTTCAAGTATTGAAAGAATAGTTTCAGATTCCCATTGGGGAAAGAAACTCCCAAGCTACTATACATCTGGTATAATTTTGTGTTCTCTAAAATCAAATAATGAATTTTAGGAACAACAGAGGTTAAGAGCAGAATCTATTTATTAAGAGAAGGAAAGCTTCTGTCTGAGAGAGAGAGAGAGAGAGAGAGAGAGAGAGACAGACGGAGTCCCATGTGAGCTGCCAAAGACTCTGTCTTTTCTAAGGCTTTTATAGAGCAAAACCACAAGAAAAATGTGGGAAAAATGGGAACTCGGAACTCACAAGGCAGGCAGGCATGAGGTGGTATAGAACTCTGGTCAACCAATAAGATTACGATTGTAATTGCTCAGGTGCAATTGATTAAATGTGATCAAATGGGGAGGCCAGTCACTTAGCAAGCAGGCATAAATACTGAACAGGGTCTTTCCTGGTAAGGGGTTGGGTTAATGGCTTCTTCTGGCTCCCTCAAGGTGACTGATACCTATTTAGAGTATCAACCCCTGATGTTTATACTTAGGGTATAATTGCATTTATTTTGCCTTTGGTCTTGAGATCTGGCCCATAGCCGAGGGGTCAGTCTCCCCCTCAGTTGCAATGTATCTGGCTCCTTTGAGGGCTCAGTCCTGTCTTTTGCTATAATATTTCTAACTCAGTTGCCTATAACACCATCACTGTGAGAAAACAGCTTAGATAAATAATCTGAAGGAAAAGGGGTCTATCCTGTTTTCAGCCCATGATCTGTTGGCTGCACTGCTTTGGGTCTGCGGTAGCACAGTGTATCATTTGAAAATACATGGCAAAGGGAGACTTTACCTCATTATGGATAAGAAACAAAAAACAAAAGATACTGGCAGAAGTCAGTGTCCCAATACCCTCCTCGAGGACATGCCCCAGGTATCTAACTCCACCCACTAGTCCCACCTGCTGAAAGTCCTCCCACCTCCCAAAGGTGCCAGGCTGACTGTGCTGTTAACACATGGGCCTTAGGAGACATCACAGATCCAACTACAGCAGCTCCCTAGGTGAGGAGGAGAGGTTCACAGTGTGACAGCCTCATACAGGACACATTTTAAGCTTCATCTTTCTTAGCATTTCCCCTCTCACTTTTCCCCCCACATTATCACTTTTTCAAGTCTACACACAACTAACAGGTCAAACCCTGCCTTGGAGCATGTGACAGTTTGCATGGTGTAAATCCTCCCACTGTGGCTGATTTCAAGGGACCAACGTAACATTGCTACAGACAGAGTTGGAAAGAATTGTGCAGTACATTAAAAAAACAAAGAATATTTCCACATAGCAGGTACAATACGTAACCTTACGTGTGTGGATAATGCTAAAATGGAGTAAGATCATTAAAAAGTGATGAGTTTTGAGTTTTTAACCTTTGTCTTTAGAATTTATTTTATGTAATTTGATTTTTAATGACAGCATTGAACTTTCTAGCTTCTGCAATTTTAACAACTGACTAATAGATCAGTAACTGTCCTATTTTATCAGTCAGAGAACTGAATTTTAGAAACTATTACTAACTTGCTCTAATAACAAAGGTCAGTGTCAGAAGTTGCGTAATTCCAAACCTGTCCTTTATGTTTCTGTTTCAAATGTTAGTGATGATTTGCTCACCTATGGACAACAAACATCTTCATGTGCCTGGGTTTACAGCTTATGGAGTCATTTCCTTCCTTTCCAATAGGTAAAATGAGAACTTTACTAAGAAGGTAAAGAGAAGATCTATTTAACAGCTGTGTTCAGGATACAGCTGGATCTGTTCCCTCCAAGGATTTGGCCAAGTCAGAGATGAGCAATTGCCCAGTGACTGGTAGAAAAGATAGTTTTTGTTTTGTCTGTTTATCATTCATCATTTGGTTTTCCTTTCTACATATTTTCATTGTATTTAATGAAAAAGTTAAAACTTACTATAGAAAACATAGCAAAGTGCAAGTACTAAAAATCACACTTATAGCAGCACAATTTGTAATAGCTAAATCTTGGAAACAACCCAAATAACCATCAACCAAGAAACGGATTAAAAAAAAGGTGGTGTTTTTATACCATGGAGTACTATTTAGCTATAAAGAAGGATAAACTGGAGACTTTCATAGATAAATGGAGCAATTTGTGACCACGGTCAAAAGTGAGATAAATCAGACTCACATATGTAAACATCATATTGTCACCCTAGTGTAAGACGCTGGAAGAGTATATAAGATCAAAAATGTACCATAGATATTGTGAAATGGGAAGAAACTGTTCAAAAGGAAAGAAAAACAAGAAGAAAAGAAGAAAGGGACAAGGAAAAATATATATATGTATATACACACAGGATAGTTAAGATAGTTACACTACTAATTTTGATTAGTTCATTGAAAAGAAAGATTTGTGCTTATATTATTTGACCAATTTTTATGCCTAAATCTTGTAATCTGAGCAACTAATAGGATAACAAGACGCAATGTATTAACCATTGTTAATCTCCCATTATCTTGTTTTGAAATTCTGGTGGGTTTTTTGTTTTTGTTTTGTTTTGTTTGTTTTTTTGTTTTTGTGTTTTTTTTTTTTTTTGCTTTTTCTCTTTAAAATAAAAATAAAAATAAAAATTTCCAGGAAGAAAAAAATTTATCAAGAGTAAATAAGGGGTGTGCTCATGCACTCTTGGAGGCCGAGGCAGGAAGATCTCAAGTTAGAGCCAGCCTGGGCAAATTAAGGATACCTTACCTCAAATTTAAAAAAATAAAAATAAACAGGCCTGGAAATGTAGCTCGGTGCAAAGACACTGAGATTGATTCCCTTGACCACCAAAACAAACAAAAACTCAAATCTTTCTCAACACATGGATGCTGCAGGTCTGGCCCACACCTCAACTCTGCTATTTTGAAATAGGCCATGTTCCCTTTACTGACTGTGTACTTGTGACGTTTGCTTGTAACAGCTTTTCTTCTTAGTATTTCAGGTGGTTTGGGGCAAATTATCACTATAGCGAACCAGCATCTGAACGCCACCAGTCATAGATCACTTAGAAGTAATATTAATTTACAGGGCAGAATCCCAATAGAAAACGACTCTGAAACGTTTCAATGCAGTAGGCCAGGCAAAAATAGTGGCCTGGACAAATTTGACAAGGTTCCACCTGGGCACCTCAACCGCGGATGGGACTGACCGACTGGCACATGCGCAGTCAGCCCCTGCTGTTACCTCTCAGCCCCGCCCCTCGGGACGGACGCACAGTTCCCAAAAGCGGAGAGCGTGGAGACGCTGACGCTTAGACCAGGGCCGCGCAGGCGCAGTCGGGCGCTGTTTCCGCGGCGGTGCCTTTCTACCTGGCGGCTCTGGAGTCCTTGGGTTTGGGACGTGCGGTGGGGCCTTACCGGTGCCGGGGTCTGGGGTCTTGGACCCTGGTCAAGTACCAGCAAGCACGGAGGTGCAGGGTGTCGCTGAGGGCGCGGGGCCCTCCACCCCGGTGACGGCCCCGGCCTCGCAATTCACCCTGGTGGTGATACACCCCTGCTGTGGGCCGGACGAGGCCGCGGCAGAAGACGTCCCGAAGCTGGCCCCAGCTCCTGCCCCGGCCCCGGCAGCAAAGCCCGGCGCATACCCGTGCGAGGTGGCGGGGGATGCGGAGGACGAGGCCGGGGAAGACGAGGCCGACCTGCTGGACACCTCGGACCCCCCGGGGGGCGGCGAGAGCACGGCCAGCTTGGAGGATCTGGAAGATGAGGAAGCCCCCGAGGGGGGCGAGGGCGGCAGCGGGGGACCCCGGAGGCGGGGTAGCAGTGGGGGCAACATGAGCAAGACCTGCACCTACGAGGGCTGCAGCGAGACCACGAGTCAGGTGGCCAAACAACGCAAGCCGTGGATGTGCAAGAAACACCGCAACAAGATGTACAAGGACAAGTACAAGAAGAAGAAGAGCGACCAGGCCCTGAACTGCGGTGGGACCGCCTCGACTGGCAGCGCGGGAAACGTCAAACTGGAGGTACTGCATCTCGCAGGGATCCTTTGGGTTGGGAGGTGAAAGAAGAAAACTCACTCTTGCTGCAAACCCTATTTCCTGGTCCAGCTCAGCTGCTCCCATAAATGCTAGGTTCCTAGGTGAGACTCCCCGCTGAGAGGGAGCGCCTGCTCTAAGTTAGAATTTGTAGGAACACCTGCAAAGCCTTAACAAGTCTGTTGCACCCTTATGATAAGTGAATAAATTTCAATGAAAATGATGTGAGACATCAGCAAGAGCTGTCATTTCAAAGATCTGAAATATGGGCTGGAAGGGCAAATAATGAATGTTTGATCTGACTTATTTCTGAATGAGAAGGCAGACTTTGAACCCTAGAGGAAATGGTTAGACAAGGTAGTCTGCTTTTTTTATTATTATTATTACTGTGTTCTTACTGTCCCTATTCATAGTACTCTGTTTGAAGTGTTTCTGGACTTAGGACTCTGCACTTAGAATACTGTTCTCAATCAGTACTTTCATGATTCTTAATACTCGGATATTTAATTTTGTTCTTGGTTTCCCCGTTCGTAGTACCCTATTCTGGCTACTTCTTTTCTTACCCTGAGAAGATTTAATAGATTGTGAGTCTCAACTTTTATGTTGTTTTTATTTGAACTGTATTGAAGGTTAAAGTTAGAACGTTAAGAGTTAAACTTGTGGCTTGAAATCCCCACTCCTTTATTTGCTTGAGTCTGTGGCCGATTATTAACCTGTAAATTTTAACTTCCTCTTCTCTTGGCATTAAAATAATACTTAGTTCTTATTGTTGCTGTATGTGAGATATTCCCAAATGAATGTTCATTGTCCAGTGTAGTTCAAGCCAATAAACCTTAGCCACTATTATTGTAAATGGTAGAGGTACACTTCAGGGTTGCTACAGATAAATAGATGTTTCATCCTGGGTTTCCTCCTTTAATAAAAGTTAATCACAGTATAGAGAATCATTGAATTAGTTTAAAATGAGCCAGAACATAATGTTTAAAGGTGAAAACTGGTATGAACTTTGTATTATGGAGACAGATCATAGATGATTGCACAAAAGTAGACCATAAAAGCTGCCTGACTTGCAGGATCATTAACTATATTGTGGAGTCTTGCATATTTTTCTTTATAGACTATGACTCCAAATAGTTTCACACCGATTTTCTATATGGCGCTACTCTTGAATTACAGTTTTCAGTGTTTCAGCTTTTGGAATTTTAATCTTTAAGAGTCATGGTTTTAGAAATTTGATATGAGAAAATCTTGAACTTTAAGAATTTTGATGTTTTGAGATTATGGCATTTAGGATTATCTCTCTTGAGAGTAAATCTACCACCTGTCTGTTTTAGAGATAAAAAGATTACTTTGACAGTAATTTCCGTTTCCTGAAGAAGACTCTTCCCTGTAAAAGGCACATATGCAGGATTTGGTTTTGCATACAGTCTCATGGGACCTTGTACATATTAGATTATTTTAGGGTTGAAGGACTCTGAAGATCTTAGATTAAAACCTCCTTCAGTCCATGTTTGTCCCTTATTTACCTGTGTAGAGTAAAAATGTAAGCCAGAAAGAATGGCTAATTTTTTTACTTGCCAGGCAACTGCTAGGCTACTTGAGTTTTACAACCCTTCAGCAATGAGATACCTCTGTGTTTTATATGGGTAGAAATTGAGACTTAGAAAGAGCGACTTGGCCTACACCATGCAGCCAGCAAGTACTCAAATACAAGCAAGCTGATTCGGGAGCTTTGCCTTTATTCCCACACTGCAGTGCTTCCCTAGAACTCTGGTGGATAAAAGAATAACACATTTCAGTAAAAAAAAAAAAAAAAAAAAAAAAAAAAAGAGAGAGAAGTAGAAGCCCAGGAGCCACTTTGGGGAAGATAGCATATCGAACTAAGTAGAGTATGTGGAAAGTCCATGAAAAATGGAGAAGGGAGGGAGGGTGAGGAGTAAAAATGCAATATGTGGATGCACCTGTTCCCCAAGATGAATGTAATTAGTCTGTGTTGCAAGAATATACTACTAATAAAAATAATTTATTGAAGGAAAAGAAAATTCTTGGAAGATAAATTTGGAAGAAGCTATTGAAGGTGATGTTTATGTGATATCAAATGGGTGGCTGTGAAATTTGGACTTGGAATCTTTAGGTGAAGGTTTCTAAGGATAGATTAAAATCAAGGGCTATAGATTTGGAGATTGTAAGAGATTATGGAATGGATAGGTGAGGTGCTATGGGGACTTCTTGCCATGGAGAATGAGCAGCAAGATTAGAATTTGAAGCATTGCATATTTCTGCCAGATGTGGTATTACATACCTGTAATCCTAACACTCAGAAGGCTGAGGCAGGAGGATTGCCATGAGTTTGAGGCCAAGGTCAGCCTGGACTACAGAGTGAGACCGTGTCTCCAAAAAAACGGGGAAAATAATCAGTATTTCTTACATGAACTGAGGTTGAACAAGAAATATCTAAACCATGTATATAAGAACTATGCTATATGAAGCAACTAGAGATAATTCGCTTGTATGGATTGGAATCATTACCATTAAATTAAAAAACTTCCATTTGAAAGAAGCAGATTTTATTTTGCATAATTTTGAAGACACGGGAACTCTAGGTTAAAATCACAAGGGTTATAAGTTTCAGCTCAAGCTCATTAAAAGCTGCCTAAGTGTTAGAGTTAATTGAGAACCAAATGGAATACCACAAAAACTGGTAAACTCCTTTAGACAAAACTTTGAAATTTTTTGAAAAGCGAATCCCAACACTGTAGAAATTAGAGCTAGATGACTCAAGGTTATTTCTACTACAAGCTTCTGTGGTTTTGTGTTCTTACGGTTCTCAAACTACATAATGCTTAGTCTGGGCTGTGGGGGTGGAGAGTGTTCAGCATCAGGTCGGTTCCAGCCTTCTACTGACTGTGCACAGAAAATGAAACAATATCCCACAGAGTTAACTGTCTGGTGAGAGAGAGAAGGAAACCATTTTTGTTTTCTGTGGGTATAGAACATCTTACAATTTTTACATTTTGGAGCCAAATAGTTGAGGAATAGAAACTTGTATAATATGAAGTTGCTAAATTTCTCATAGGGAAAGAAGTAAAGAGGGATTTTGTTTGCTTGTTTCTTTGAGTTTTTTGTCCTTCATTTTTTTGAGACACAGTCTCGCTCTACAATTCAGACTGGCCTTGAACTCACTATGTAGCCCAGGCTGGTCTCAATTTATAACAATCCTCCTGCCTCAGCCCCCCTGAATGCTGGGATTACAGGTATGCATCACCAAGTGCAGCGTCTTACCGGGTACTTTATAGACAGCCCAAAGGCCAGGAGAGAGGCCAAGAAGAAAAACAGACAATATCCCAAATAAAGAATAACAAGATTAAGTTCATATAAGATGGGGCTTTGTGGTAAAACAGTTTATACTTTTATGTTTACTGAAAATTTTTGGATGAGGTCAGTATTGTATCCTGGTTTTATTAAAGTTAACTAGAGCAGTGTTTCATTATTTGAGGGAAATTGTAAAGTACTAAAGATTTATTATAGCAGATAACTTGAGTTACATATTAGGTAGTAAGTGCTGATTTTATTTGGATTTTATTGTCTATAAAAGTAATATCATCTTAGGGTTTACTTTGACTTATCTATAACAGTGACAGAAGATTCTACCAGTGCTTTTTGACCTTTTCAAGCCAGATTATAATTTTTCTCCTAGTGACTTCTGAAAACTTTTAGTCAATTGCTTCTTTAAGCAATATCTTACTGCTCCTCTTTCGGTTGTGAATTTGGCAGAAAAACAGAGCATTCCATTAGCAGTATACAGATTACCTCTAAATTCATATATTTCATCCAAAAGCAAGCAGACTTTTTTGGTCTACACAGTTGTATGTGAGGAGAATGTTCGATTCCACTTGACATTTTTTATAATATTGAAAATAGCTCACGAGTAAATCTCCCCCCCCACACACACACTTTTGACCCACTTATAATTTGAGACCCTTCAAGAGACTGAAGGACCCAGGGTGAAAATCCTGGAGAGTGGGAATACAGAGGAATATTATATAAAATTAACTGCCAGCACCTCACCTATGACTTAATAAGGGACTCTCCCAAAATTTTACAGGAACTAGACAAAAGGAAGAAAAGCAAAGACCTATTTATCACATCCCTGAGGTTCCCATCATTTGGACCACTATGTTGTGTTAACTGTTAATCTCATGTTGCTTTTATCATTTATCCCAGGAAAGTGCAGATAACATACTCTCCATTGTCAAACAAAGAACAGGATCTATGGGGGATCGTCCTGCAAGACCTACTCTGTTAGAACAAGTGTTAAATCAGAAAAGACTGGTAAGTTGTCAGCTTGTAGTTATAAATCTGTTAGTGAGAGTTGTCTGTTACAAATGAAACTGTTTAAATTTTTTTAGGATTTAAAAGACTGCTATCAGAATTGAATTGTGCCTTTTTGATAGTACACACTAGAATCTCACAGATATCTTCCAAGACTGTAGGAACAGGAACACTTCTGTGATCCGGCCTGCAGATCAATCTGTGGGGTGTACCTGGAGGAGGAACAGGGATTAAATAAAGACATAGAGGAGACAAAGAGAGACGGAAGCAAGTCAAGAGAGTCCGATCAAGCCCTATTTTATTCCGGAAGTGATTACATCTTTTATAGGCCAAGGGCGGGAGGTGGGACAGGAAGAGGCTACAGGTGTGAATACAACAGGGTCATGGTCATGTCCAGGTATGTGACGTAAGCAGGAGAGGATTATGGTTAATGTAGGCAGACACAGTGCCCATAGGAGAGAGAGAGGCAGGGAGGCAGCATTGTGGCTGTCGCGTGGCTCCCTACACTTCTAGTTCTGTTTCTTGACTGACCAAACTGTGAATATCTGACGAGGGTAGCATTTTAAAACAGACTTGTACTGAATTCTGAGGTTTGTGGAACAATGCTTTAATGCTGTAGAAGTATGATTAAACTAATATTTAATGTCTATGATAAATTTGACAAATGACATTAGGAGTTAACCAGGAAAGGAAACATTATTCACTAAATACTAGAATAACTGGATAGTGAGTTAAGGCCATAAAAGAATTTATTTCATCACATCACACTCAGTATTCACCAGAATAAATTAATGTAGTCTTAAATTTTTAAAAAATTGAATGAGGGTTTATCTCAAGTATCTGGAAAGAGATTTTGTAGCTTAAAAAACAGAATCACAAGGAAAGCAATATAAATTTCACTGCATAATAATGCAGTAGCCAAAAATGACGCTGAAAATAAAAATGCAAAATAATACAGGAAGAATAATTGCAACAAATATAAAAAACAGTAAATAGCTGAAATATTTCTTACATAAAACACTGATTCATTCATTTCTTCACTTAACCATGGGAGCCCATACTGTATTGTTCAGGCTGACCTTGAACTCCAGGGGATAGGCTCAGATGATTCTCCAGCCAAAGCCTCCCAGACAGGAGCATAGCTGCATACCACCAGGCTGGGCAGAAAACTTCGTATGTTTTATAAGGAAACAATTTGCCCCCAATTCATTGCAAAATATCTAAACAGAAAAAGAGTGGAACTATTACATTAAGTGACATTAAAAATTCAAAAGTAGTAAAAAATGACAGTGAACAATAAGCAAACAGTGTTTAAACAGCTTTAATTATGGTGAGAGTTCCATGAAACAAGCACCTCTCTTAATGGCGTCCTGTGTTGGCGTGGCACTTTCACAAGGTAGTGAAGCAGTGTACATCAGGCACCCTTGCCAGAATCATCCCTTTGACTTAGAAATCAAACTTGTAAACATCCTTATTTAGGAGGTAAATCCTAAGTATGAATAAAGTGTAAGGATATTGCTAGAAATACATTGATCATAAATAGAATAGTAATTATTGAAACGATCTAAATGTCCAGTAGTCTCATTACAGTCAATTAGATTATCGTGAATCTACTTAAGAGAATGTTTGACAGTCTGTACAAACAATTTTGAAACAAAACTATTTAATATATACAAAATGTGGTATAAAATAATACATAAAATGCATAGTAAAAATTAAAGCAATATTATAATAATATTTCTACCACATTTGGTTTACCTTTTTCAACTTGAGGCCAGAGTTTTTTGTTACGAATTGATAGAACTATTTTATTTTAGTAAAAATATTGACATAGTCTATTACATTGTTATATGATGTGATACATATTTAAAAATAGTAAGTATACAAAAAACATACTGATTGTTTAAGGGAAGTTAAATTTTTTCTGAAATTTCAATAATATGCTAATAGTAATTTTATATTTATATTTATGTATATGTGCATACTTATATATGTGTACATAAATATGCATTTCCTGATTGCTTCATAAAGTGTTAGACTAGTAGGATAAACTTGGATTCCAGTTCTAGTTTTTATATATTTACAAATCGACATTTAACTCCTAATTTCATATCTGAACCCTTTTCATCCTGCTGTAATCCCATTCCAGCATTCACTTGTTTGCTCTAATGTGTTTCAAAAGAATATATTTACTGACCTAGGTTGGAAAGCATTTCCTTTGAATGCAGAATCACAAATGATATTGGGCTTCAGCCAATATTTTGTTTTGGCATTGTAATACATGGCATCAAATTTTATTATTTATTTTATTACTTGTAGTAAGGCATGTTTTGATTTGGAAGGACAGTGTCTTTTGTGCAGGAACACATCAGAGGAATTCCATAGCAGAAATATAATCTAATCACATAATAAAGCAATGTCTTGGTTACTTTTCTCTCACTGTTATGACAAAACAGCCAACACCCAAAATGAAGGAAAGAAAGGTTTATTTAGCTCACTGTTTGTGGAAGTTTCAGTCTATAACCCGCTGGCTCTGTGACTGAGGGACAGTGCTTCAAGGCAGCAGCCAGCAAAAGCAGCAGGAACAAAATTGGGGGACAAAGGAAGCCTCTTTTCCTTCTTTGTATTGTATACAGGCTGCTGGGAGTGGCTGGTGTAGCAGGCACAAAATCTCTGATCCTGTTCTTGAACAGGATGAGGATATTTACCAAGTAATAACCCTGGCTCCCTGCTGAGTCTCTTAGTTAAACTTCTAAACTGCTCAAGTTGACACAATGTATCAACCATAACAAGCTGTTAATAATTTTTCTTTTTTCTCTTTTAAGTCATTATTAAGAAGTCCTGAAGTAGTGCAGTTTTTACAGAAACAGCAGCAGCTGCTAAATCAGCAGGTTTTAGAACAAAGACAGCAGCAGTTTCCAGGAGCATCCATGTGATGGAACTTATCAAGAATCTGGACATTTTTTTATTGTAATATATGAACATATTTTTATACCAAATATAAATGATGTGACATATGTCAATAAAATGTAAATATTTCCTTGTAAATCTTTGTGCATTTGGGTATAAATACATATTGTACTTCAAATTACCATGAGTTTGAAGAACTCACCTTATCTTCCCAAATAACATTGAATAGTTTTTAAAATGTATTCTTCAGTCATTGTTACTGAAGGTTAGTGAGGCAGTTACTTTCTGTGGAAGTTCTGAAGTTAATAGACAATAATTTTGAGCCATCAAGCTCCAAAAGGCAATTGGAAATGTTTATTTTTTGATTGTCATAGTAAACTTGAAAACTACTATTTTTAATGATGGAGCCAGGAATGCCAAATGTTCTGTGGTGACTGGGATAATCTGCCACAATAAAAAATTATTTCCCCAACAATGCCAACATTGCTTCTTTTAAGAAACCTTGAGAGCAGGCTGGGGATTTAGCTGAGTGGCACAAATGCCTTCCTACCAAGCACGAGGGCATGAGTTCGATCCCTACTACCAAAAACAAAAACAAAAACAAAAAAAAAACCCTGTTAGCTATTACTATGATTACAAGTAATTGGAGCACCTGGAATCAGAGTCTTACAATCATTCTTTGTAGTTAACACTGAAGCTGTCAAAAAGGTAAACATTTTATACCTATAAGGAAAGTGATCGTTGGTCATTGTTTATTTGTGAAATCATAGATGTGTAGGTAAAAATCTGAAAGAGAAATATACCAGCATGAATGGGCATCTGGAAATAGTTGTGTCCTCTATTTCATGTGACCCATTAGTGTTGTTCTTTAGAGAAGACCCTCTGATGTGTTGAATATCTGAATTATCCAGATGCAGCTTAACCCACCAATATTACGACAAACTTATCTTCTTCATTTTTTCATTAAAAGAAAATCCTGAAAATAAGAATAGCACTCTACCATTTTTTCAGTGCTTTTCAAATTGAGGTGTTTTACAAACACGTTATTCCTGAGCACTATTAAATAACAATGGGTAACCTGGACATTTTTTTTCTTGTATTTTCTCCCAGGAAAACTTTAAAAACACAAACTCACCAATAATAAAGCAAGAGTCAAGAGAGTATATGCAATATTAGAATAATAAATACAACATGTCTCAAAATGAGCTGGACAAAAATTTCTTAGTCTTTAAACTCTGAAATATTTTAAAAATTGAAATATTTATTGTGTTGAAGTTAGTCATAGCTGTTTTAATATTTATGGGGAGAATGTTTTTATTCATTTTTATGTATGTTTTCTACTTGCAAATATATTGCAAAAACATTTTTGCCAAAATTATTCATTAAAATCCACTTGTTGACCTCTGAGTTGTCTACTTCCTCCATTTTCTTTAATTGCCTCACACTGGATCGAGACAAATTCACTGTTTGTTACTGTGTGTTCAGTATTGGGAACATTAGAATCCCTAGAGCTTAACTTTTGTGGTGGAAAAAAAAAAATCAGCTTATGCTTCTTAAAATGAACTCAGTGGGGCCGGGATGTGGCTCAGCAGCACAGCACTTACCTGGAAACATGGGTTCATGAGTTTGATTCTTGGTACCAAAAAAAAAAAAAAAAAAAATTAAGTGAAATGGGAAAGTAATAGGCCAGTGAGAACCAAATGAGTTTATGTATTTATAAGAATTTCGAGATGAGTAAATCATTGAGAGCTTCAGAATCTTTTTCCTCAGGGTACTTTTTAAAATATGGGATAGTAGCTCTCCAGTTATGAATCTCTATGGGAATATGGCAGTTTGCAATATACATTAATTATGGTCTGCCACCATAATTAAAAAGAACTGTTTCCTTTTAATGTTTTCAAAGCAATAAGATTTTACCTATTTGGTGTAGCTGTATTGCCATTTGTCTCCAGCTTTTCATTCTTCTGTGTTCTTTGTCTTCTGACTGCAGCTTCTGCCATGCAGGAGGTTGAATTACTTTAGCTACCCCTTTAATCTGGGAGACCTGAGGCCAGTTTTGGCCAGTCTGATGCAAAGGAAATTAGTGTGCCAGCCTTGAATAGACTTCTGATGGCTTTGAACATTTCCACTTGCAACGTTAGACTTCCACCCTGTTAGCCTCCCTGATATAAAGTGACATAGACTAGCCACATCTATTGTACCTGCTGATGGCCAGCAAAGAGCCCGACATGAGCCAGGCTGCACAAAACAAGCTGTTTTCCTAACCAGTCTGCCGGCTGACTAACAATGACTTCTATGCCTCAGATCAGCCAGGCCTTCCAGAACCATCGTGTTTTCCTGTAGATTTATAAGCAGTAATAAATGTTTATGATTGAAAGCCACAGTTTTGGGACAGTTCGTTATGCAGCATTCAAGTTATAGTAGATAACTGATACACTTAAATTACTATAGGTACTCATTGCTGCATAACAAATCACTAAAAAATTTGGTGACTTAAAACAGTGGCATTTGTCACAGTTCTGTGTATGACCTCTATGATTTTAAATAAATGTACATGATTTCAAGCCACTGCTGTTATGCAGTCTGACCTATTATGATCTATATTTTTCTACTTCCCTGAGTCAAAGCAGGTCCTGTGACTATTCTGACAGAAAATGGCAGGAGTGACATACCATTTATGTGATGTTAAAGGAAAAAAATACATAAATACAGATGTGGATAGATGTAATATAATTAGAACATAAAGGAATTCACAGCTTCTATTACCCAGTGCAGTTGAGAGATAAACAGTATTTATCAGTATAAACAATTCTCATATGATACCATGCCAAAGAATCCAGACACAAAGCATGCATGAATCTGTTTATGTAGAGCAGAAAATCAGGTGCATCAGGACTCGAACAGTGGATTCCGGGCGGACAGTGTCACACCTGGAAGGGCAACAGGAGGCTCCTAGTGTCTTAGGAGTGCTCTTGTTACATAAGTTGATCATGCATGTGTGTTCTGTTAGAGAAAGTTCAGCCAGCTGTGCAAAAAAGACTTTCTCAGCTACCCTGCAGCTGGGTCTGACATGCAAGTAAACTCTGGCCAGTGGGACGTGGGCAGATGCAATGCGTCCACCTTCCAAATGGTGTCCTGAAAAAGAGCAAGCAGCCTGCTTTCCTTCTTCCTCCTGCCCGCTGTCTGCAATGTTTACAGAACAGTGGAACACCCATGGTCAATGAGGATTATTCATGGGAAAATAAAAAGATAAAAAGAAACTGTGTCCTTAGACAGCTGCAGGAAGCAGAGCCTCTAGTATTGTTACTAGGTGAAAGAGAAATGGATGCATCAACTTCTGACTGATAATTGTAGTGTCTTCCATAACTGTTAGTGTAGCCAGTGAAAGCTATGTCCTAAATCATACTACAGGTATTGACAAGTGGCATTAAAGACTGCTCTACTGAATTTGTCATAGCAACCTGCAATTATGTGACACTATTTCACAGGATTCAACTAGTCACTATAGTAAGAAAGATAAATTACAGGCTTGATCTAGAGTTCATTTATTGGAGGAAGGGGATCAGAAGGTCAGGATGTTTTCAAGAGTTCTTTCTTGAGGGAAGGCAGACTTCAGACTAAGCAGACTTGATGAGAGACTTCACTCTGTGGCACTGCAGTGCAAGTGTAGGATGTCTGAGAGACACAAGATATTTAATCTAGGAAAGCTGTGGCTCAGAATGTGTTCCTGACAGCCTCAATTTTTACTGCACCTAATAAAACTATAGCAAGAAATCAATAAGGGGTCATTTGCTCATCTACAAGACCTTTCCCAAGCTTCTGCTTGAAGAGTTTGGTTTAGGACACCAACTAATAAATCAGTTCTAAGAATTTGATGACAGGACTGCCGGTCAAGGAGGGGTCACTGCAGAAGAAGTCCAAAGAATTTCCTTTAGCTCATCAGCCAGAAACTGCACTGTTGCAGAAATGTGATTTTAAAGAATGGTAAGAAAGGAAAAGGAGGCAACTACGTAGCTGACCCTCAGAAGAAGCAGCTCTCAAAAGGGATGCTTGCTAACACTAACAGACTGCAGGTGACTGTACAGTTATAAATAGGAAAGTTGCACAGGGTCAACAGTGGTAAATTATATATACAGACCCACTATACACATGCTTCTATGCAGAATCAGAAATTGCTTTTTAATAAAGGCAAATAGGGGCACTGGTAGTTTGGGGTAAGTGGAGGGATCAGGAGACAACGTTTTGATGAAATAAACCTGTTCTTAGCCAGGCATAAGGGCACCCACCTATAATCCCAGCACTCAGAAGTCTGAGGGAAGGAGGATCGCTGTGAGCTCGAGGCCAGCCTGAGCTACAAAGTGAGTTCAAGGCCAGCCTGAGCTGCATAGCGAAACCCTGGTTCAAAAAGACACACACACACACAAAAGAAATAAACCTACTTGTGATTTCTTTTACCACATACATATGACCTTTTCAAAATATATCTTGTTTGAAATGAAAAACAGTAAACACAGTACTTAGAATTACTTACCTTTTGCTATTTGGGTTTATAGAAAGAAAATGTATTTATTAGTATTTGAATTACGTTAGTAAGATTTAACCTTTTAAGATTTGAACCTTTTAAATAAACAGATTTGAATTAGGGCACCAGTAAATCATATTAAATGAGCTAAGATGTTTTATTTAAATTAACTCTAATTATGTTGCTTTAGAAAGTACTTGCATATGTGCTGATTCCTGCATGACAAGGCAGATGGTACCACCCATTTTGAATGACAAGAGAAGTTCAGAATTTAAGTGACTTATACAACAGATTATTCTATTTGTTAGAGGCAAGCCACGATTTGAACCTAAATCTTCTGTCTCCAAGATGAGGCTCTTCAGTGAGGCTCTTTATCCAGAAGCACGTTGTTGCTACAAGAACTAACACTTTCAAGTGCCCAGTTTCTCACATTATGTATTTCAACAAACACTAACCAATTAAAATTTTTAAAAATTTGTGTGTGTATATATATATATATATATATATATATATATATACATCTAGTAGATTACTAGATTAACTATACTAGTGTGATCATATTGTAGATAATGAAGTTACTTTTGTAGATTTCCTCCTTGCCTTTTCTTTTTCCTTTTGTCTGTCTTCCATGTACCAGTCCCATTTCTGGCTAACCTTTATCACAACCCAATATGTATTTTCCATGCTTATACAATTAACATAAATATATGCATATTTAGAATTGCCTTTGCTTCATAAAAATGTGGATATATTGCTCACAATCATTCAGTGTAATTGCTTTTCACACATCACACAGCAGTCCCTCCCGGCACTTCTGTCATCCCCATAGATGGCTGCAGAGCATCTGGGGGGGGGGGCACCGTTATTCAGCCACCCCATTGCTGATAGGCAGTCACTTGGCGGCCAGTTTTCTTCCCCTGTGAATGATGCTGCAGCGACCATCCTTGTGCGTCTCTATCTACCTGTGCATATAGGTGGCTTCTTGGCCTTGGGACAGCATCTTTTTGCAAATGGCAAGGAGACTTAGAGGTGGGGGAGAAAGGTGAGGAGAAAGAAAATAATCAAGGTGTGTTATGAGTATGTACCAACTCCTCATGATGAATGTAATCATTATGACTGCAAACAATACTAATAAAAAAGTTTACATTAAAAAGCCAGTGCTATATGGAAGGATATATAAGTTTCCTTTAAATAGAGGTGGCCCCATCCCTGCCTCCAAAATGAGCTGTAATGCTGCACATCTTTACACATAATATGGGGAATTCATTTTCCTCACATCCTTGCCAGATGGAGTTTCGACTCCTCTCTTGCCTTCCTGATGAATGTATACTATTAATTGTTATATTTATTAGCATTTCCTACAATAATAGGAAAAATGTGTAAGGCTTGCTAATTTTTTAGATTTGCTCACTTTCCCATTAGGGTCCCTCTGTGAGTATGCAGAAGTCTGATAAATCTTTGGAAAATTAATCCTCATGCTTGTACTTTTTTTTTTCAAATGTAAAATTTGTATTTACCTTCTATAGCATATTTTGTCATACAAGCTTTAAATGTTTACATTTTTCAGTGTGTCTCTCATCTCTTTCTGGCCTCTGTGTTTCCTGTCTTGTTTTAAAAGTTCTCAATTTGATATCTTTGGCATGGTCACTGATTGATAATTTCCTGTTTCATTTCCTAGAATTTGAAAATATAGTTAACATAGATATTGAATGATAGTCCTAAGTGGTTTTGCATAACTAATTGACATGGAACTTTTATGTTTTAAATCATTATTACTGTTGGTTTCTATCTTTAATTAAAAGACTGAATATTATGACAGCAAATGTATAGGCAAAAAGTGAATATTATAGTTGTGACAGTCAATACTGTTGACACATTTGAACCT